TCCCGCCGCCGCCTCTCCCCGCGAGCCGGCGCGGTCCCCTCCTCTGCACTCCGCCGCTCTGCGCCCGCTGAGTGTGTGACTTCTGCCTCCGCCAGGTGCGGCTCGGGCGGTGCAGGTAGCCGCGCTGCCCCGGAAACAGGAGGCGGAGCGCCGAGCTCCTGGGTTCCCGGGTCCCCTCCCAGCGTCCAGCGCCGCGAGGGCGGATCCTAAGGCCGGGGACGCGCCCCCTCGTGGGACAGTCCGAAGCGTCGACCACCCCTTCGCTGCCCTTGCTAGCTAAATGAAGACGCCCCTCACCTGAGCCCCGGATTCAGACTTTGGAGCCCCATGAGGTTGCACCTCTGCTTCCTCATGCTGGTGGCTCCCACCACCTGAATGGCCAAGATCTCAGCACAGGTGCCCCCAATCTCACAACTCCCTTTTTCTTGGCTTTTTAGAATCTAGAGGCAGACAAGAAGTGGTTAAATGGTAACATTCTTGCAAATCGGGGAACATAAGTTTTCCAGGATCTCCGGTCCCTTCCCCCAACACGGCCATCTGTCTCCTTCTTATTCAATTCTTCTCCCCAAGAGGGTTCAGTTCCCCCCCCCATCTTGCAAGTGTAGTTCTGTCTCCTTAGGGTCCCTAAAATTAGAAGTGTTATAAATCTCCTCCCTCAGGAGGAGTTCCAGAGGGTGTCAGGGAAACGCTTCGTACAAATAATGGTACTGATGTTGTTGTTAGCTAAATTGAGTTCTTGCCTGTGCCAGGCTGTGGGTTAGGAGCTTCACGTGGCGCTGTCGCCCGTGAGCCTTTGGCGGCAGAGAGGAGCTCTAGCTGGTTTTGCAAAAGAAGGAAGAAAAAGGTCTATTTCATTTGGGAAAAAAAATAAAATAAAGATTTTTTTTCTTTTAAGAAAACAAACCTTCACTAACAAACCCTAGACTAGAAAGAAAGCATGTTGTTTGAGAGGATAATAAAAAATAAATGTAAAAAAAAAAAAGTAGCATGATTGAGTTATGGGTCGGCTGGCTTTGCACTTGCACGTCCCCTGGCTGCGTTTCCCAAATACATGTTTAACCATTTGGGGGAGGGCAGAGCTGGAACATATGGTGCAAAGCTGCAGTGGGGAAATGAAGCCTAGTGTGGTGGATTCTTCTCTCGTCTTCCAGAGCAGCAGACATCATGCGCAGGCTGGGCCAGGGTGGGCTGCGCAAGGGAGGAGTCACATGCTTGTTTGTGGTCTCAGTCGTCTCTTGATAGAGAAAACTCCCCATGGTGAATTCTTCCAAAAGCTTTCTGTAACGTTGGGTATTTCCCTACAGCCAGACTTAGGGCTATATTTGACTCACCCTCCTCTTCCTACCTTTCCAAAGGGCCAGGCACAGAAGTCCAGGAAGTGCCTCAGGCTGATCCCCCAGCACTGTAGAGTTTTTACATCTATTTATGTACCTACAATCATCTCAATTTTCTCTGCTTTGTCTAAGCCTTCAGAATATAAACATTTCCAAGTGTTGATTTGGGCAGTAGTGAAAAACGAAGCCTGCACTGTGATTTTGACTGACATACATGATCATATTTAGTCTTCACAAAACCCCCCTGGAGTAGGGAATGCTATTATACCTTTTTTTAATATGAGAAGATTGAGGCTATAAAATGCTGGGTTGCCCCGGCTTGTGAGATTAAGGAGCAGAGCAGCAGTGGGAGCTCTGGTGGCTTAGTGGTGAGGAGCTGTGCTGTCAACCCAAAGACTTGAAATTCAAATCCACCAACTACTCCTGGAGAGGAAGAAGCACAGTCTCCTCCTGGGCAACTTCCTGCCTCTGACAACCTGCAGGAATGTCAGCTATGAGTCTGTTCTGACTCAGTGGTCAACAAGACTGTTGGGTCCAGGTCTTTCTGACTTCAGCACCCATGCTTTCAACCATTAAGTTACACTACTTTTTTTTTTCTTTTTTTAAAAAATTACAGCGTAACTGTATTTCTTTTTTTAAAAAAAATAATTACACCATAACTGTAAGATTTACCCATTATCTAGATCTGGAATATTATGTATGCTGACAAATGTTTGTTGATTTTTTTTTAAATATTTTCAGTGAAGGTTTACATAGCAGTTTAGACTCACCTTTAATAATTTCTACACAAGTGTTGAGTGGTATTGATGCCATTATTCAAACGGCTTCATCATTTTCACTTTTCCTATCCTGGTTGCCCCATTTTCATGAATATAGTCTTCTTTTTTTTTTTTTTTTTTAATATAGTCTTCTTGACTCTTAGATTCTCATCTCTGGTTAAAAGTTGCTGGCCATTTGGTCTCATACTTTTCTTTTTTAATAGAGTACTGTGTATAAGTGTGATATTAATTTTGTTTTTGTTTTTAGTCAATTTATTAGTTAAGCTCCAAGATGACCTCAGGGGTTAGTTACAGTTTGGGGTCTGAGACAGGGCCACTGTCTCAGAGAGTTCTCCAGTCACAACTAGAGCAGTAGGTCTTTTTCTGTTTTGCTCAATTTTTGAAGGAATTTGAGGTTCTGTTCAACATTCTTCTCCCATTTTATCAGAATCCATTTTTGTGGCCCTGAATAGTATGGTGAGGAGTGCAGCTGGACAACATTTTATTCTTCTGATCTCAGGATGAGAGCTGTGGTGGCCTAGTGATAAGAAGCTGTGTTGCAATCCCAAAGGCATGAGGTTCAAATCCATCAGTTGTTCTGGGGGAGGATAGATAAGATCATAGGTCAGGAAGACCAGAAGAACTAAATGACATCCAGCTTCCACTATTCACTGTAGGTCATAGGGGAGCTCGGGTGGCCTTGTCACTGCTGTTGTTATAAGCCATGGAGTCAACCATAACTCATAGCAACTCTGAACAACGGATCTGAACCCTATGCTGTGCCATCTTCACCACCTCTGATATTCTTGCACCCATTGTTACAGTCATGCGTCAATCCGTCTCTTATTCTGACCCTCCACCTTTCCAAGCACGATATCCTTCTCCAGAGACGGACCCCAATAACAACAGACCCAAAGTTAGTGAGGCAGAGTTTCATCATCCTTGATTCCAAGTAGCATGCTGCTTTCACTTTCTCCAAGACCTTTTTCTTCTCTTGGCAGTCCATGGGATATTCAGGAATCTTTTTCAGCCCCACAACTCAAAAGGATAGATTCTTCTTCTGTCATCCTTAGTCACTGTCCAACTTTCAGATGCATAGATGCATAGCAAACAACTGACAACACCATAGCTTGGATCAAGCACACCTTGGTCTTTAAACTGACATCATTGTTCTTTAGTACCCTAGAGAAGTCCTTGACAGCCGATTTCCCCAACTCATCTTTGATTTGTTAACCCTGGTACCAGGGACTGAGGATGCAAGTTAGATTAATTTATTATGTAAGGAATTGTGCTGCCAGCCCAAAGGCACGCAGTTTGAATCCACCCATTGCTCCACAGAACTGATGGGCGGTCTCCTTCCGTGAGACTTAGTACCTCTGAAAATTCACTCCAGTCAGCTATGAATCAGTTCTGACTCAACAGCACATAGCAATAACATAAATAATAATATAAACTATTTATCGCGTGGTAAGAAACTGCACTGCAAATCTGAAGGCATGTGGTCGAATCCACCAACTGCTCCATGGAAGGATGGGCAGTCTCCTCTTCTCCAATTAACTGCCTCTGAAAATTTGCTGGAGGGATAGCCATGGGTCAGTTCCGACTTGATGGTACACAACAACAACATCCTGTAGCCTAGTTTCTTTAAAGTTTTTATTTCCTTCTTTCTTATAGATGAATAAAGACCAGTAGTTAGAGCTCAGATTGGCACTCAAGAACTTTTAAGACTCCAAACACCACTCATCAAAGGAGAATGTAAGCAATGAAGAACTCTTGAAACACTATACATGACTGAGTTTAGAGGAAATTTGGCTGAGTGAAATAACTCGGTCACAAAAGGACATATACTACACAAGATGTCTATTTTAAAAATAAGAATTTTAGGCACAGGAAAACAGCAGGAATAGAATGAATAGGCAAGGGTCACTAATGAATTAGGGGATGGGAAGGCCAACCTGAAATGAATGGACAATATGTGTATTGCAACTAACAATCTGAATAGGAATTGATTGAATGAAGAGGAGGGTGGGGAGAAGGCAAAAAGGGGTGGTGAAATGTTATCAAACAAGATCTGTATGACTGGGAAACAAGATCTGTATGACTGGAAACAAGATCTGTATGCCTGGAAACAAATAACTAAAAACAAAAAATAATAGAATGTAAGCATATGACTTTGATGTTTGTTTAATAATCTTTTCACTGAGAGCAAGTGCTCTTACATCAGTCTATTCTAGAATCAGCCCTATTTTCTAGCAAGTAACTCTCAGTCTCAGATCTGGGGTGGGGGAGAATCACATGATGCTATTGACTCCTTAATTGGTTGCTGTCAAATGAATTCTGACTCACAGCAATTTTATAGGACAGTGGAGAACTGCCTCGTGGGATCCCCAGGGTTCTAATGTTTGTAGAATCCGACTTCCACCCTTCTTCCCATGGAGCAGCTCAGCTGGTGGGGTCAAATCATCAACTAGCACCCACCAGCTTAGCTGTTGCACCACCAGGGC